TTTTGAATAAAATAGACCCAAAATTACCTGTTCATTTCAGCAACAAGTGTTGAAGAGCAGCTTTGGATTTGCCGTCTCTTTAAATGCGAGTCATCTCTGGGATTACAGCTATGGGTTTTCTTTCCCAGCTCATTTCTATATTCGGTTTGGTTTTAGCTTTTAAACTCCACCTGGAAGAACAAAAGGCAATGTTAGTTTACTGGTTTGGTTTTTATAACTCAATTCAAAGCTAATTGCTTGCGATTGGAGCAAAGGTTAGCGGCTCACATACGATTTAGCGTATATTACCTTTCTCACATCATCAACAAGTCCCAAGAAAATGCGTAGACGTGCTTTCTCTCTTCAAAGGCGAGTTATCCTGAGTCAAATGCGAGTCGTTTTGGGCAATTTCAGCTACGGTAACGGACTTTTTGCCCACTTCACTTCATTCAGTTTGGTTTTAAGCTCTTAAACTCCACCTGGAAAAAAAAAAGCACCATTAGTTCACAGCTTAGGCCTTTAGAACTCAATTCAAACGTAATTTGCGTGTTGTTAGAGGGAAGGTTAGCGGCTCAACGGTAAGATTTGACGTATAATACCTTTCTCAAATGATCAATATTCCCCAGAAAAAGCCTAGACTTGCTTTCTCTTCAAAGGCGAGTTATCTTAAGCCAGTTCAGCCACAATTCATCGGTCGTCAATCTCTTGTTCACAAATTTCATCGTTTAACTTCGCTTTATTAATACGCCAAAATTCTGCATGAAAAGAATAAAAGCTACGTTAGTGCTATACAAGTTTGTATTTGAAGCTGAACACAACACGAGAGAGGCATTACAAGACGTGAACTAAAGACACGTGGAACCTCAGCCCAAAAGTTCACGATGAAACAAGCTGATAAAATACGCAAAGCGAAAGGCATATTACCTGGTATTACACCTACGACAGTCTGTCAGAGATAGTAAACTTCTATTAAACTTCTCTTCTGCTGAAGACGATAGCAATCTAATAGCAATTTCTGTTGAAATTTTCTTGGCATGGAGGAGACTCATTTTTATTCTTCGAAGACCAGCGCTGAAGTGATGTCTCAAACTGGAATCAAAAGCACATATTATTCATTTCACCCGCTCCTCATGTCTGCAAAATAAAGTCATCCTATTGGATGAACACTCCCGACCTGACAGCTCAACAACGCTTCTGATTGGACGTTCATAGTCATTTAAATGATATGATTAATTCTTTTCTCCTGAGCCTGAACATCAGAAATGAAAGGAAAGAATTAATCATATTATTCAAATTACTATGCTCGTCCAATCAGAAGCAATGTTGAGCTGTCAGGCCGGGAGTGTTCAGCTAATAGGATGACTTTATTTTGCAACACGAGGAGCGGGTGAAATAAATATCTAGCTTCAATTCAACGTTGCCACATCAGAACAGGGATAACACGGAGTCGGAAATCCGGAGCCGGAGTTTCGGAGCCGAGTCCCGGAGTCAAAATTACGGAGTCAAAAATTATGGAGAAAACGTAGTCTGCCAAAAACATGGAAAACACGGAGTATAAATGTTTGGAAAACACGGAGTCAACGTAAATTATACATATATTCATAAATGAAGGATCGCTCATAAGTCTATACTAATTTTTTATACCACAGTAATAGTATAAAAGAAAGAATACACAATAACAAAAGATTATAGCTATAGCCTATAAGGCCTTGTCTTGGTCCCATTTTAGCCGGATCTTGCCAATAAATCGAGTGTAGTGTAAACATGGGCTTTAGAGACTTCGAGTATTCGACTAGTCTTATTTTGTGTAACGTTAAACTAAAGTTTATTATCATCGAATACTCTGAGGATGAAGGGAAACATTTTTAAAACATTCAAATAACATCGTTTTCGTGACTCACGTACTATATAGCTGTCGTCAGAGAATAATGCTTTTCGTTGTCACTGCAACATATGGGCATTTGAAGCAGTTTGCACGAGCATTATTCGCTCACGTATAACAGTACTTAAGTACCTTAAATAATTGAATATGATATGAAAAATTCCCACTGTAAGTTGCATGTATAAATGTCGTTAGAAATACTTACCGCCTTACAGGACAATATATGGAAAAGAATCAGATATCCGTACAGGAAATCCATGAGTTCTTGTTCTAGAAAATCGTTAGGGAAAAACAGTGGGATTAAGAATATACACCAGCAACGGCTTTTTATGGTCAGTCGTGACGTATAACAAGTTATCGTTCGTTAAACGAGAAGTAGTTTCGCATTTCACCAACTCATTCATATTCCATAGAAATGCATGCCCATGCACGCATTGTTAATCACTTCTTTCAAGCCCGGAAGAAAAAATCCATTGAAATTTTGGCTTGTGCTTGTTATACCCTGTTCGACCGTCCATTTATAGGATGGAGACAAAAAAAGGAAACAAAACGAGAGAAACGAAATGCATAGCCAAAACTATACAAACCAATAATAGAGTGCATGTATATATGGGACTGTGGCGGACCGTCGTAGTGGTTAAATAATATTTTCTATATAATTCCTGTAGCACATAAACAAATACCTTGCTAATACCCAGTATTGTAAATTTATCATTCAAATGGCTGACAAAAGATGTCGAGCGCCTAGAAGCTGGGCAATCCAAGAGGATTAATATACGCCTTCATCTCAAATTTTCACCTTCGATAAAGCTAAAAAAGGATTTGAAACATAAAATATGAAATATCAGGAAATCATGACCGGAGATCATTGATTGTTATCTATGCTGTTTCTTTAGGTATTTTATATATAATGGTAATTGAACTGAGTGGGGTGCAATTTGGTGTGAAATCAAACGCGTGATTACAAAATTTGTAATCACAAGTTTGATTTCACACCAAAATTGCACGACACGAAGTGCAATTTCCACTTTATTATATTCATTTTGAAATCATACAAAAAATTGAAAACGATTTATTGGCTGAAAGAACCGTAAATGTGTAAAATGTGAGTAATTTTCATCTATTTTCGTCAAGAAATTTTGCGGGGCACTTTAAAAATTCAAGATAATGAAATTTTGAGGCAAACCCCCTGTAATTTGATTGGGTAGTTACAAAATACTAAATCTGATTGGTTATTGTGATGCAGAGCTTCAATCTTATTGGCTTATAAATTAGGTGATTAGTGCTCAAAAATAGTGCGATTTGGGAATTAATCACACTATTTTTAACCAATCAGATTGCAAGAAACATCATTGATTTCAAAATCAATATAATAAATAGTGTTATCTACTAAACAAATATCGTAGGAATATACCTTTTCGCCGGACAATATGGAAAAGCAGATTAAACTTTACAATCAGGTATTTTCTCTATTTCAACTAACTTATCCAAGTTACATACAAGTAAATACAACAACAACTATATTCTAATATCATGCAACATTGTAAAAAATATTTAGCTATATAGTTCCGGTGACCGTAAAAACGTAACTTGTCCATGACATAGACATCATATAGGGTAAGCTTCCCGAGAGCTGTGGTGAGAGGATATAGTAATAAATTTAATCAGCTGTCTCTTCAAAGAAATTTCAAAATCTCAATTAAGATATATTAGGAGAAACAAAAGCTACTTTCATATAATTACTATACTAAATATGAAAGACCACGCCGCATACATGCTTTACGTAGTTTATGACACCCGAATCTCAACTTTATCATTTTCTAAATTGCGAGGGTATGCACCTAGCCTAGCTATGCACGGTAAAAAAAATTCAGTTATTGTAATATCTCCCACGTTGCTGAACGATTCAAGATTTCATCATCTGTCCTGATGATACAAACGTTTCTCATGTTGTATAAATCACCCGCCAAATTTGGAAATTATATGGTTTTACCGACACCGCTACACAAAGGCGATCTGACCCGAGGTCATTTATACTCTATATTCACATGACATTTTTCGTATATCTGATGAAACGGTTAATAGCTACAGAACTGAAATAATCGCTAGTTTAAGCGTCAATAATGGATCTTAGGACCCCGGTTGTGGTAAAATATCATCTTCCAGGAAGCGGTGATATATCCTTCGCCGCAGTTTCCGCGGTTTCAGAGCTGTGAAAAATAACGATGTATTACGTACGTGGTAATAACCAACAATTACGACAAGATAAACGTAGTAGGTTTACAGCAATGTCGATTTACAGTACTAATATTTCTCACCCCAGAAAGTTGCATGTCGCATACTTACAATTAAATTCTTTCATGTGTTTAGTGCATGTGCACGGCCCAGTCAAAGAGCATCAGGTGTTAAATAAAACGCATCAGTGATTAACATTAAAAGGCAATTTTTTAATCGGTGGCGTCATCATAATCTGTGAACGATGAAACTGTTTGTTAACATTATCTCGTTACGACGGTTAGATATTGCTTTGCAACCGTTTCTAAATATCGGTCAACTGGAGATTTTAAACATTGCACAGGTAATGCGTATATCGTTCTTGTCTTTTAGTAGATCAGTTTGTTTCTTTTTCGTTTGTCTTCTGTACAAAGCTCTAGCATGGAATTTGTGCTGGATTTGTGAAAGCGATGGAGAGATTTAATAGTGTATAATCTCCAAAATTTAGCGGGGGTCTTATTAAAAATTAGAATATGAATAATATTCTTTACGTTCCAAAATATATACTTAATCAGTTCAGAAAATTCGCCTAGGTTTTGTTTTGTTTTTAGTTTTTTTTTTATTATTTTTTTATTATTTTTTTTATCATCTTTTTTATTATTATTATTATCATCTTTTTTATTATTATTATTTTTTTATTATTATTATTATTTTTTTAGTATTTTTCGTCGTCGCCAGCATGTTTTGGCGCGAAATATACTAGCCATATGATGTATTTCATCTACGTCGCAGTTTTGTCTCTCAAGAGTTGTGGTGCACGCTCGAAATCTATGCGCGATTGCGCGCGATGCGCGATTTGATTTCGCTCACATGAAACGAAAATTCCTCCAAGAGGAACAAATAAACCGTTAACGGTCTTTTGATGCTGTTCGATTAATTGGGGTAAGAATATATTTAATACAAGTCATATAGATTCCGTTCCTATTTCATTAATATATATCGCTGCTATTTCGCCGTTTAATAAGATGTGGTCGTGTATGGGCGCCTTGACACGTCACAGTTTGCACAAGATAGAAGATTTAAAATAAGCACGAATTCCAAAGTGTAAGACAAAGTGAACGTATCATGCGGTTTATTTACATTTTTGTACAATTGAACTTCTATACTTTTTAAAGTACGCGATGTGCTTCTGAATGTCGCGATCGAACAACATTTATTTTAGGTTTGCAAGGCATCTAAATGAGTATGAACTGTATTGTTTATGTTCAGAAGCTTTATATTGAAGACTGGCACGTGCGCGGCACGCCGGAGTTATTCAGGTGCCGGACATAAAAAATCGTCACTGCTTTTTATTACGTATATACCTACAGAATTTTACCTGTTCTGCATGTCGGCAAACCGGTATCATGCAAACGGGACCTCGTTCTATATAAAATAGAAGAAAATGATAGTTTTGAACTCAGTTTATATGTCATTTACGTTTGTCATTGACGCCGTATATCTACGAAAGTTCGTCGCCAAATACAGTTATTTGCCTGCATGGCTTTACGATTACCTTGGAATATTATACCATGAATCTACAAACGAGTTTTATCTTCAGGAATTCTACAAATGACCTTTCTTTTTTCATCTCTTTAACTATGGTATATGTTATATGTTATTTTTGTAGTGAAATGGGCTGTCAAAAGTTAGCAATCGTTTTGGCGATAAGTTTTTCATGGATTTCTCTGGCCCATTTTGACAACCATCAGCAAACAGTACGCGGTGAAACAAACAGAATTGTTAAACGTTCTCCATTAAATCACCAAGGTATCGCAAGGGAATGAACTCATAAAATACGTTTGTTTTGATAGCAAAAAGATTCTTATATGTATATTAAAGGGTCAGGGAAGAAATTTATCTTATTGCAATCGTCTACTCCCAATGCAGCCGTGCAAATGCATTAAATGCTTTCTCCAAAGTTGCCAAGTACCCGAAAAGATTTTCATTCTTTCTTCACGACAGTAACGACACATTTGAGCCCTTTTTCCACAAGGCGAATTTATTCGCGTAAACTGACAAAAAGCAGGAAGAAGTCCCGTGCAAAAGCAGGACTTTTTCGCGGCGAATTCTTTCGCAAACCAATCACATCACCGGATTTCGGATATCGCTTCGCGTCGCGCGAATTAACTCGCCTAGCGGAAAACAGGCTTTACCACAAGTATGACACACATGCAGGTCGTGGAAGTATGTTTACTATCTCACTTCATAAAACTTAGTAGTTTTGCGATCTACCGTATTTTCTCAAGTCACGACCAGGTTGTAGATCCAGTGTAGTTTTCCAGTTATTTAGTTACAAAATGTCTGGCCTCGCTGATTGGAAATAATGTAAATGCCTACCACACATTTCGAGGTCGTAATAAGGGCTTGCATGTGTTACAATCATATCCTTTGTTGAATGATTTTTAGACATCCATGCCTCCGCGCGCAGTGCTGTTACTAATGTTTTTACCGATCCAAATCAACCTTGCTACAAACAGTTCTTTGTTGGTAACACACCACCAATTGGTCTGCGACCTCTTCCGACACCTTTGCCAGCCAATTACAGTATTATGAGGTATATTTGTCAGCAAATTCCAACGGCGACCGCATCACCGACGCCAGTCACGTACTATGCAACCATGTTTGATGAAAACTATGGAATCGCCGTCTACTCAGCTTACTACGTTAATAAGCGCAACATGGACAATTTAATCGCCAACAAATTTGGTAGAGAAGAACAGACATGGCGCACCCAGCCAGGTAATGACTCATTTATATAAGAAAAATTTCAAATCTCCATCGGATTTCAAAACATCAACATTGCTATATGAATCACTTTTAAAAGAAAATACAATATTCTCTGTTTCCGTAGACTTTAAAAACGAAAAATTATTCTAAATTGTTATAATAAATTGTTATTTCTTCCTTATTTATTAGGGCCTAATTTATTTTATATATAAAATCAAGATATATCGAATGTAAAATAATGATATAGATATAATGATATAGCTATCTATACCCAGTTTATAGTTCTCCGCATTTAGTGAAATTTAGGAAAATATCCGGAAAAGGCATGCTAAATTTAGTAAAATCGCCAAGTTTGAATATAATTATATAGCCAAGCGTAGTTGGCGAATTTTGCAATTGTATACTTTTATATCATATAAGTTGGTCCAATACGCAAGTGGTCCATTGACATTGTTCACGTTCTATAATAATATACAATGTCTATACCTGAACTAAAATAGATACATGCATGTATAATTACTTTATGCACAACTCCCTGTTATTTACTATAAATTTGTTAATGTATAGGCATAACAAAGCAAGGGACCGACGCCGTGTACCAAACCGCGGGCAAATCAACCTATGACAAAGGTCACCTTCTACCAGCAAACATTTATTCATTCAGCGCTGAACATGTCACGTCAACTTTTTCCTACACAAACGCAGTTCCACAAGTTGGAAAGTTTAATAAAGGCGAATGGAAGCAATATGAGGGCAAAATTTTGGATTTTGCTATAGATATTTGCACGCAACGTTCTGATGCCGTCCTGTATCTAATCACAGGCACCACGATCGAAATTCGTTACGAGGGTAATAACACCCTCACGCCGATGAACAAAACTTTAAAAGGAAAGAGCAAAGTAGGTATTCAAGTTCCTGGATCGATGTGGACGGCAGGGTGTTGCTTAGCAGGCGCGTCAACAGGCAAAGTTTCTGTCACAAGTAACTTCGCAGTCATTGGTGGTAACCTTGGTTCATTGCGAATGGCTGAACTAAGCGTCGGCGCCCTCCAGAATATCCTAATAAAGGATCCTCCTAATAAAGGAGTCACCGCAGGTGCTGTTAACTTGTTCCCAGGAAACAAGGATTGCTCCAACCCGGCAAAAATGGTTAACTTAAAAAAAACCAAAGCTGGTGCGCCAACTGGGGGTACACCAGCTAAAGTAAAGAAACCTTCACCGTCATCATCGACGATGACTAGTAACTTAAAAACACAACAAGGGGTTTATAACTTATAGACGTATAGGCTGTGCTGTAGAGCTCCGTACGTCATGAATTGCATTGTCATGAATTGTAAATGCAATTCATTGCTGATAAAATGATTTTGTAGTAGGTTCGGTCTTCGTTTGGAATTTGCCATATGGCAACTCTATACCCGGTAACATTGGAATTTTGCCATAAATATATGTGCATGCAACGTTCCGATGCCGTCCTGTCGTATTCTGATGTAGCAAATGATTTCAATACAAGATTTTGTTCAATTTCAATAAAAATTATCATTAACGCGATGTGCATCACCAATCTTCACTCCTTGTTTCTAATTAATCATCACATAATCTCCATTATGAAATATAAGAGAGGAATTTAACTCCTAAAATGGAGTATAAAATCAGATGCCTCATCGAAGAAATTTCAAAATCTCAATTAAGATATATTAGAACAAACATAGGCTACTTACACATAATTACTATACATTAGATAAAAAACCATGCACGCCGCATAACATGTCATACGTATTTTTATGATACTAAATCTCAACTTTATCATTTTCTGAATTGTAAGGGCTCAGTAGGCCTGAGACGTTTTGTAACCTATGCACGGTAAAATAATAATTTCACGGTGATTTCAGTTATTGTAACTCAAATTTTGCAGTATCGAAAAAAAATTTCATGAGCATCGAATTTCAAACATCAGTTCCACAGTAACGATGACTACAAGGACCAGTAGACACCAGTTTGTAGATGTGAAAAAATCCACAATTCATTACTTCGATATCTCTTTGACGGTTGCAACAAACCCCCACCCAACTGAAGCATACAGTGCGCGTCACTTTTCCCTCGTCAAAAGTAGGATGCGGTCCATTTAACCACGAGACACCATGAGTGGAACATTTTCGATGAGTTCTGTTTTGAATACAACTCGTCGACATCTGTGTCCCGGCATCACCCACAAATCTGTACCAGCCCGTTGCTATACCACGATCACACAATAATCCCGCACCCATATACTTTACGTTTCGATCTTTGCTGCTAAGCGATATATAACTCGTGCATTCATGCCGGTCTGTGTCTGGGAAGAATGAGAGATATATATGAATGACGACAGCTTAAGTGGAAAAACTTTTTGAATTATTATTTTTCTTATTGCAAATAACTAAAAACTATTGAATGATGGTTGTGTGCATGATTTGGGTTAATTGATAAGGTATAGTGGAATTACCATTTACCAACCGGGCAAGCCTCCATAACGTGATCAAGCTAATTCTTCAGCTTGCCCTGTTGGTAACCCGGAGTAGAACAATCACAAAAAATTGAATGAAGTCGAACATGATATAAAGAAATACCAAGTCGAAGTTTGCTGAAGCCTAAGGGTGTATATACTACTATTTCCGTCCAGCCTATGACGTAATAGCGTTCATGAAAAAGTCGTTCATGAAAAAGTCGACCATATTTATTAATACCATGGTAGCTTATGATGATTATGTTGATTTCGCCAAAATATTGCAAACAGTTTCCGGGATTAATTGTAATTAGACAGCTGTATTTGTATTTGTTTCTTCAACGGTTCCTTCCTACTGATTTTAATGATAAATTGTACCGATATACTATATATTTACTGATCAAATGAAAGCCATCTACCTCGAATAGCTTGCTAAATGTAGGTGGTTTCTTTTGTAATTATGTTTTATGTTATGTTTTAAAATTTGATATGAATTGAATAGTCGTTTCTCGAGTTATGATATTACTTTTTGGACATGGCAATTAGATAGATGGCTGACTATAGTCAAAAACAAAGAAACATGAAATGTTATTACTTACGTAAATTTATAAAGCTTGTTATCCTCTTTTCAAGCTCCTGCATTCTCAAATTTAACTGCAGAAACAAAAGTTCTTAATCACTATTTAAATAAACTTTGGAAAGTTATACAAAACGAAAAATATCAAAGGAATAGAAGTGAAAAGTAGTGCTGGATTGGTTACCTGGCTCATTTTACACAACAAAATATTTACAAGTCGCATTTCGATCAATCGTACAATTGCTTTGTTACAGTGATAACCTTGGGCCGGCTGTACGAAGCCTGGATAGCAGTATTCACCGGATGGTGATTTTTCAACCGTTATAAACATGCTTGAAATGCAGTGAAATTATAAATTTGGAGTTAAAGTTATGAAAGAGGATTCGAAATTCACAATACTAAGGTTTAAGGAAAGTAAGCTACACCAAACAACAAGAAAGTATAGAGCGATTAAAAAACCATGACTATCCGAAGGATAGCGCTATCCGGCTTTCGTACAACCGGCCCCAGTGCATCATTCAACATTTTTATACAACTTATAGATGACTGATGACCTACCATTCGGTTTTGTTCATAAAGTCTTTGCTCATTGTTTTTTAACTCCTGAATAACTATCTCTGAAGTTTCTTCTAGGATCTAAATCGGTGTGAAGTAAAGGAAAGTTGCTAAGAGGGCAAAATTAGGGTGTAAAAAGTGAAGCTACTTATTATACAGTAAATTAACATTTAATTATTACAAAGTAAATTATAATAAGTTGAAGCTGTAGATATTAATTATTACACAGTAAATTAACATAAGGTGAAGCTATTAGGAGTAGTTATTTATTACACAGTAAATTAGAGTAAATAGAGCTTATGCATCTGTGATGATTATTTAGATGTAATAGAGGCTAGTCAGTGTCGCGTGGCTACATGATACATCTTTAGTGTTTCCCAAATTCCAACACTAATATTGCTTTGGATTTTCTAAATAAATCACCATTCCTATTAATATACCTTTTTCTCTGGCGCGATAACTTCCCATGTTCCATTTGATCTAACAGAGAGTTCATTTTTATCCGTACGATATTTTAACAACCCAGGAACACCAGGCGCTTGTTTGTCCATCGCCGCATTAGGAACTACGACAACCTTTGGACAAAAGAAGGAAAATATATTCATATGCACGACTTTCAAGTGTCATTCATAAGCGTGGTATACATGCGTTAATGAATCTGATACCATTAAAATGCTACTTTGTAAGCAGGGTGGTTTCGAGTGAAGTAAATCAGGCAAGGGGTGCAGTACTAGTTTTGTATGATTTTTTAGAATTATGTTTTATTATACCTGAAAATAATTTCTTCTTGATCTTACTTACGCCATATGCAATTTATTCAAATAATGAAATCAGGACTTACGCCATATGCAATTTATTCAAATAATGAAATCAGGCCTTTTTAGGCTTTTTCTAAAGAAATCTTTTTTTGGAATTTATATAATACTAATAATTATTACAACTTTTAGACTTACACCCTCATTCAACAAAACTTTGTCCTTAGAACAGCGACCCTGCAAAAATATGAAAAGACGAAAGCTTCAAAAATTTCATCTCATTCAAATCCATGCATGTATAATACTGATTAAAACCGAAAATATACCTTTTCAGGCATGGGATTTCCGTCCAGAATTCTGTAGGAGATCATGACGCCATCTTTATTTGCTACTTGGTATTCCATACATCTTCTCCAAACACGTTTTGGAAGAGATGTTCTCACCCAGAACCACGTGTAACTATTCCTTTCTGCAGTTCCGCCATTTTTCGGGGTACAATCAGGTGTGCAGTAATCACCTCTACCACCTGATGGGCCGTAACATCCGCAACATATCTTAAAAACAAAAAGGAACGAAGGCACGAATATTCAGGCTATGTTTCTTATAATCATGTTATGCGATATGCCTTGAGCCATGCAGCACTAGAGGGTTGTAATCGCACCAAAAATTTACACCTGTGCCATTTAACTACCGCAATAAAATATCGTATTTTTTGTATCTCTTCTCTTTTTGCTTCTGGCTAAACCTTTCAAAGGAGTTTGCAGGAACATGTAAATACATCGTACGTCTTAAACAGGTTTTTGTTCTTAAATACTGACAAAAGACATCGATAATGATGTTATTTTTTTTCTCAGGGGCATACAGTAATTGGTACCGTATACTGTTTTGGTATAACCAGTGCGGGATGCATGCAATTGCAATAATGACGATGCAAACCATCGGCGGAATTAGATAAAGTTTCTTCCTATCATCCAAACATTTCTTAAAAAAAAATATTTAAATGTTGCATCGCAATAATTGTAAGTTTACAAGTTTGTTTGCGGAAACACCTCGTGAATTTAGTTTTGCAAAGCTAAATTCACGTGGCCATGCATTTTGACTCACATAGTCAATTTATTATCATCTGCGCTCGATTAAATGCACGAAAACTCCTATATTTACAGTGAATATATACAATCCAATATAAAAAGAAAGAATGACTTTCGTTCCGCTGACCTGTGATATGAGGTTTTGTGCATGATCCATCTAGAGGTGCACTAGTTTCGCTCAAATTATTTATAACTCAATGCTACTTAACGTTTGCTAATATTCTACACTCGCACGTGTGAAAATCATGTAACCTTCCTATCACCACATGTACCTTGTTAGATGAACAACCAACCATTGCAGTGGCAGCATGGTTTACACCTGAATTATTTCCCGACGCAGTAAAGCTGTATGTAACAAAAATGAGAAATAGATAATTGTACATGGTACTACAACACTGGGGGTTGTTTATATGAGCAAGGTTATCGAGATTTAACAAGCGTAAAATGCACTTTGAGAAGTTGTAATGAGTAAATAACCTGATCTTGGTGGTCGTGTAATCATCCTAACAATAGTATGTGATTGTTTTGTCAGAATAAACTACTATGTACAGCTTAAAATCGCATCGCATTGGTGGATTTTTATTTAAAAATGTTACTTTTGAAATCCATAACTAATCGTGTTGTTATTAAGGTGTTTTTTAGCTGTGTAATTTCTTCTGACTACCCCTAGATCCGCAACTGGTTTTGTCTCAAAAAGTTTATTTCAAACCCTTTTACGTTTCGTTAAATCTCGGTAAACGGGCTCATGGGAACAGTCTCTGAGTTGATGGTTATTTGCCAAGAATCATGCCAAGAATGATTAAACTGGATAAAACCCCTTTCTAACTCTTATGTTGACTCCCGCTCCCCCCCCCCCTCCTTTAACAATTATAGAGCTGGTAACATCATGTTTCACCTGAACAGTCCATGGAAATCAACTTGAACTTTTCGATCAAATGTTGGTTGATCCCAATATGCGAATCCACTTTTACATGGCTTTTTTAAGCAAGAGTTCATCTTGTGCTGAAAGAATTTTGTTTTACAGTATACAATCTAGCTAATATATGCTTTTGGTAGCTAGCCTGTAAAACTCCATTCGCGTTCCAGTTTGTATTTTCCCCGAAAGCTTGCGGCATTCTATGTATACTATCCTAATAATGTAAGAAAACTCAACCCAAGGGCATCATAATTTTCATCAAATCCTTTCTGATTACATATTAGCTTATAGAAGTAGTGTATAGTATTCACACCTTCACAAAATTCTATTGTATTTTACACCTACCCATCCAAAGCCGGTCACTGGATGTTGATATTTTCCAAAAATAGAACAATGATATCCTGTGGAAACAATCTTATTAGTCAGCAGATCTTTTACATATGCTATGTTTCCTATTCCAGGTTGGTCTTGAGAACATCCTTTGTCTTCCATCATTAGTTTTTGTAAAGGGCGTTTTGCTTGGAGTCTAAATGACCTAAAATAGACAATATTGACAATTTTTCACTATTCTTGGATAAAACGTAAAAAAAGGGGACATGTCGCAGCTCTCGGAAGCTTTCGTCCAATTCGATAATGCTTTCTATGCTTTCTAAAGAACGAAGCTATGCTATTGGTTGAAACAGAATTGTATTGTAAAGTTCAGCCAATCAAAATCATTCTTGCGAGGAGCTGCAACACTACCCAAAAAAAGAGGAAACACACCAATCTGCCTTTGCCTCACGCATATCTTCCGCTGTACCGAATTGAACTCTAAAATCAAGGATTTCGGCGTCTCCTAGATTACTAGCCCAGTGTGGAAGACCGTATGGTTCAACAGGAATGTCGTTTGACGGTACTGTCCAGGTTACAGAGGAATTCATCCTCCCAACAAGGAAATATCCACCGCCATCTGTGGTCATATCACAATAAACCTAAAAAAATTATACCTTTATTGACTGTTGCACTGGTAAAATTTAGACAATAAAGGAATGTTAAATTATCAAAAAGAATAAATTAATACCTTTTTGCCATTGTAACTTCCAAGATGTATCCAGTACATCCCATCCTTTGCTCTAGGGTAACTATCTAATATTTTTGAACAGTCAAAACCAGGGCTAAAAATTTCACCGTTCGGGTCGTCCCCTATGAATGAAACGTGGAATTGATGTTAGTTGGTTTCATTTTTATCAATTATATATGATGATTTCATTAAGTGGGTTTATGTTAGAGCAATTTTACACTTTTTATGGTAATATCATATCAGCCGCATATTAGTGCCAATATAAAAATGATTCTACTTTTTTTAATTAATTGCCATTGATCATGGGTGCTATAAATTATATGCAAACCTGCTGCTGATTGCCATTGGTACACCCCTGCATTCATTGAACAAATGAAGACTTTTTCAATGCTTTTTCGATCTTTAACGAGCACTTGTGCGCCGTGGTTTGTTTGATTACATTGTCCAGGATCGTAGTCGTTTAAAACAATTAAACCCTAAAAATAGCATTATTAGAATTCCAGCAATTATCATTCAGGATGTATTATACTTCATTTTAAAGGAAATCAATGTTTTCACTGGTGTACATGTGCCGACGGTGGCGAGCGTTATGGCTTGCAGTCCAAAACACTCAAGAAAGTCCAAATATGGCTACGCCCATTGCGGCAGTCACAAACGCCATCGTACAGACGATCATTGTCAATTTGACAATGATATGCTTGACGCTTTTAAGTACAAGGTGCAAGATACAAGGAATAAATAAAAAAATTAAAAACCATACATAAATTAATAATTTATTTTTGTTCACTTTTTTGAGAATTTCTTTGTAATTTTGTTCCATGAATGTTGGACGTACACATTCTTTTCGAAAGTTTTTATCATTATCATGCATGTGTTTTTGAGAAAATTTTCACAAACGTAAAAAAATATCTTGAGAATCATGGCACGGCAAATTAAGGAAATCGATCCGCAGCATAGTTTTTTTACTTCGAAAAAATTTTAAGCCAATTTTTTGCTTTATGTCTAAACAGGATTGATTGTTTCCATTTTCAAAAATCCGCTTAGGTGATCATCGCGTAAAAGTCCGAGGTCGCTTGACCAATCAGTGGCCACAATTATCAATAATTATTCTTATATTAATTAAAGTACAAGTGTTTTGAGGATTTTTGCTCTCTTGGCGAAACTCCTAGTCAAACACACTTGAAATTGAAATAATTCTTTTTATTCTTTTTACTGCAAGTCAATCAAATATCGCGTTATTCGCGTAGGAGATGTTTGACTAGTATTGCAAAATGCACTAAGCGTGTACTGCATATTTCTGCACTTTGATAGGCTTTTAAAGAGGCACTTACAATTAATATTTCAAATATGTATACAAAAATGTTTTGCGACTTGTTTCTATAATATATAAGATAATTGACACCTTTTGTAGCCAAATATATGTATTAAAAAGATAACAATATCCAAAAGAAAACAATTTCAAATTGGTTGAATACCAGCATTTCCAAAAACGCGTATATATAGTACTAGTAGTTATCATTTAGCTATCCTTTCAATATGATTATACAAAAATAAGCTGTTTATAAAAACGTTTTTCAAGCAGGCAAATACTTAAGACAAGTGTTGCGAGTCTACGATTTCGATTGTATTGATCAATATACAACGCATAATAACTCGTGGTCGACGTATGTATATTTGTTAAGTTTCAATCTATTAGAAGCCACTACTGAATTGCCGTGAGAATCTGGTAGCTATAATAATATCTTACGATGCAGCTGACAATGGCCTAATGCCGCGATTGGGGGTTGCGAGTATATTCGATAGTAATCCCTTATAAAATTAAAATCCATTCATATGAAATATATTGAAGCTTCAAAAATAGTCCCCATAACATCCTTTTCGAAACAAACTCACTGTCTATATAGAAATAATAGTGATGTTACGACAATTTATGTACATTTGTAACGACTTATGCTGCATATACACTTGAGTTATTTGCGTAAATCCCGTAAATACATATAGCAGACAATAATTTACTTTTGGACACTTACCGCCTTGCAGGACAATATATGGAAAAGAATCAGGCATGCGCACCGGAAATTCATGAATTCTTGTGTTTGAAGAGAATTTTCAAGCGAAAACAGCGGGAAAATGAACAAATATACGCAGCTTTTTAGAGTGTATAATGTGTCGTGGATCAGACTTGGTTTAAAAAAATGGTTTAAAAAAATAGTTTCACATTCCATGGGTTCATATTTCATTAGCAATGCCAATGTTTTTAAGCTGTTTTAATCCATATACCTTAACCTTTTACAACAATGCAAAAGTTGAAGGCTTGTATCTGCGAAAAGGGCCTTGAATGCCAACAAGGAGAAACATATACTTCGAAGAAAACAATTTTCGAGATTTGAGAATTTTTAAAACAAGAGCTTGAGCGAGCTTACGGTGATATAGTCAAACAATTTCGGCAGACAGGGCATGGTTAAAATCCAGCACCCGCACTCTCATTTTCTAAGAAAATTTCCTTAAAAATTTTGAACCTGATCGATCAGAAAAAAAATATTTAATGTATTTTTCTCAAATGTTCCCTGTCGCTACGTCCTTGTCGAAGGCATGCATATAGCATAAATATTAGGAGAAAGTAGTTCCGCATCGCGATGTATTTTCAGGAATTTATTCACACCGTTTTAACAGAAATGAACTCGCCAGTAAAGTCAGTATTTTCTTATGCGGTCCCTCTTTTTTCGCTATATCGATCAATAGTACTAGTATACACGCATCTGTTATTCAATGACAATGTGTGCGATGGTCTATTTCGATGAATGTTGAAATCTTGCGTTGTTTGCCTTTTGGCTTTGGCCCTTTAGGTCTGGGATTATAGCTTTTGACTTTCACAGCTCTGGTATTATAGAATTTACCTTTTTGCTGCGGCCTTTTAGCTCAGACATTATAGCTTTTGGTTTTTGCGATACAAAAGCTCCAGTACTGACACTGACAAATTTTTCTTCTTTTATTGTTTATTAATATAATACAGAAACAAGGTAGGATATACACTAAGAAAGAATAGAAAAGTTAAACTAGTTTCTCTATGCATGCATTGTTCATTGATCTCAATAGCGATCATATTTACTTTAAACGAACTAACGTTCATTACCATTACTATTATTATGTTTAGTTCCATGCGCATTTATCACATTTATAATTCCACACGAGTATATCAGTCTAAAAAGTACAAAAAAATTAAGTATAAAAAATGCCAGACTGGCGGGAACGGTGTTCGACTTGAGTTATTAACTCGACTTCTTTCCGTGGTACGCGAGCTATCTTCGTACAATTTCACTAAGTTGAGCCACCAGTGAAGCCATGGTCCATAATACTTCAGGCTCATCGTCTTCCTCATCGCTTAGTTCGGCAGTACCACTCTCCTGCACTTCGCTGGACACTTGTCCATCGGTGGTTGTGTCCTGAGGTTCCTCACTTAAATTGCCGGATATTTTCAATTCGCCTTTTGTTTCGTCGCCCTCGCGTGAGTCAGTCAAGCTGATATGGATGTCTTTCACAGAGGCATCAGCCTCACATGATTTCGCAGGCGCCGCTACCGTTTCCGTGGTAACACATTGCTCCGCTGGGCAATGCTCGCTTTCGACTTTGCATACGTTAGACTGGATTTGATTTGTGACGTGGCCCTCGATTTCATTTGTTGCGTCATCTTCTTTGATTACGGCAACATTAGCTTCCACGGTGACGCTAATTGCTTTGATTTCTGTTACATTACCTTCGATGGTTGTTTCTATGGCAACGCCGCTTGCTTCTTTTTCAGATACTTCCAAGTTTTCGCTAGTTTTCAAAGACTTCTCAACACTATCGATTTCCGAAGATTGGTTTTCGGAGGCGTCAGCTTGTGCCAAGTCTTCTTTGACTTCTTGTCCAAGTTGAGCCATTGCAGATTCTTTGCTCAGCAAATTGTTGTCGTCTTGCTTCTCCAAGGCATCGCCTTTAACTTTATCTGCGACATCTGCTTGAGTTTCGAGCTCAGTTGACAAATTTTTTGCTTTTTCGAGCTCAATAACCAACGAATTTTCTGTGGCCTTGTCGATTTTCGAAGATTGGTTTTCGGAGGCGTCAGTTTGTGCCAAGTCTTCTTTGACTTCTTGTCCAAGTTGAGCCATTGCAGATTCTTTGCTCATGAAATTGTTGTCGTCTTGCTTCTCCAAGGCATCGCCTTTAACTTTATCTGCGACATCTGCTTGAATTTCGAGCTCAGTTGGCAAATTTGTTGCTTTTGCGAAGTCGATAGCTAACGCCTTTTCTGTGGCATTGTCGAGAACCGACTCTTTGCCGTTATCCTTGACTTCGATTGACTCCGCTTTGTCTGTCGCGAGTGTTTCTCCTTGCTTGGACCGAAGCTCTACATTTTCACTTTTAGTAACCGTCCTTTGTGTTTCCATGCCTTCCGATGCTTCTGGGAAAAGCAAAAAAATAAGCGTGAATCACGTTTATTCTTGATGGAATGAAACTATTGTCCCAAGAAATGTCTCAAAGCATTTTTTGCTTTTACCTTTTTCCTTAGGCTTATCGATATATTCACATTTAGCAATAGTCTTTGCTGTCGAGGAAGACATTTCATTGGTGCCCGACTTATTGTTTGCCACCGCTATCGGCTCCTGTGTTTCAAAGCCGCCTTCCGATGCTTCTGCGAAAAACAAAAAATTGAGCGTGAATCACGTTTATTCTTGATGGAATGAAACTATTCCCCAGAAGTATTTTAAAGCATTTTTCGCTTTTACCTTTTCCCTGAGGCTCATCGATATCTTTATCAATTTCTTCAGCAGGATCATCTGCCTTTCGTAAGCAACCACAACAGCCGCCCATTTTTCTAACTGAAGAATTTCCAACAATACTTCGCAACTCGCAGTTTAATTAAAGAGAACCGTATTTCGCAAAACGCAATAATACAATGACTTAATTAACCCGTGACGTTGCAATTTAATCAGAGAAAGCAATTAATTAGCTTCTTTATTAATTATAATTGGATTACGTAAAAAAAAGTATAACAACTTCGCCGGAATTTAAGGTTTGCGACATGCTTTGAACGGAGTATTTCACTCTGAATGCTAAAATAGCCAAAGATTCCCGGTGCAACTCTATCAACTACTAGGCTGCTAAGTCAGGCGATGGAATTCTTCCGAAAAAGTTCATATTGCAATTGGCCTATCGATCCTTAAAGTCATTCGGTACAGGTTATACATGTAGCAACTTTTATAAGAAAAATTTTACAGTGCAACAGCGTCTTCACTAGCCATATAATGTGATTATTTCTCTTATTTCTATTGCAAAAGTGATCACATTATAGTGAATAATAATTTCTGAGACTATATACCTAGCTAACTATTTGTGGGATCCCGTTTCTTAATTAATGGGAAATCAGGATCATCGTATATAATTTTAAAAATGGTTTAGTGAAAGTTAGCGAGACAGTAGACATTTCACAGCTTCGATTTGAAAAAAATTGCCGTAAGACATATCAGTTATGTCGAGTTATTTTTTCTTATTTTTAACCACTAATTTCTCAACCACGTATATGATCAATATTACAGCAATTATGAGGACTTCCTCATGCTATGAGGACTGCCTTGACACACTGCTAGTTTATATCCGATGTAACCTTAGAAGAGACTATAGCACGAAAAAGTGGCAGTAACATCAAATTTCGTGCATTTCAGACCAAATCAGACAACCATTCTTTCTCTCAGAAGAGAAACGCGTCCTTAATAACTGAAGGCTTCCCAGTACCACTCAGGAAGGTATTGTAATCCCTTATCTTAATTATAGTCCAACAATTATTAAAGTCCGAAACAAGAGCCTAAGGAATGTTTGAAAGAAAATAAAGTTCATCAATTTTGATTAATTTTCACATTATACGGACCAAGAAAGACGCCGTAAAAAATATATGGAAACTTTAAAAAAGACGCGGTCACGGAAAAAAGACCATGGACTTCTCGTAAATAAATATTTCTTTGGCAAACTTTCCGAGTTAGAAATGGCTCATATCTTTTATAAAATTAATATACCTATACACATTTCATGCCTGCAGTTCATAAGCGACATAAGATTATAATCAGCGAGTGCTTGCTCGTATTCCACAACATGGCAAATTATCCATAAAGCACACTTCTTGATTTTTTCTATTTCTTGGCATTGTTCATTTTGTCAAACTGCCATATGCCATATTCTGCTGCGCGCCATATTCGAGTGTTGGTCTTATCACCGTGCATGGTATAAAACTTAAATAATTCCTCCTTTGGTGCCTTGTACGCTTCTGTGTTAAAATATCACCAGGGCCATTGTCATGCAGGCTATCCCAAAATCGCCGGAAGGAAATTACACGAACGAAATTGGCATTATCCTTTAACCATTTTCGCCAATGATGCCGACACTTTTTGAACTCTACCGTAGCGTTCGCCCTTTCCTTACAAGTATGTCAATAAACCCTATAATCTGTTTTTCTCCTTTCCAATTAAAAGTCGCATAATTACATCAATAACAATATCGGTCTTGATCGCACTCGAATTAACGGATCCCTTGGCAATGGATTTAAAATAGCGAGTTACCACAGACAAGGTACATGCTGCTGTTTCAAGAAAGAATAGAATTGCCTTTGCTCTTCATATCTCTTGCATTGTAGCATATCTCTTGGTATTATAGCTTTTACCTTTTGGTTTTGGTCTTTGTTATAATTTATTATAACTTAAATTATTCACGTGTTCATCAGAATGTACAATACATTTTTAAAAAAATATGTAAATATTTGAAAAACAACAAAAAAGCAATAATATATTATATATGTAATATGAACTGTTTATCAAACTGCAGTTCATAAAATTCAAATTCAAAGGAGTCGACGTAGTTCTGAATCAAGATTAAAAAGCGAAAAGCAAATTAAGGCCTGATTTTAAATGCTCCGGTTTTCCTTTGATTTTTGCCATTTTTGTTCATTTGGGCAGAATATTATTCCGGTCGGAGTCTGTTTACGGAATTTTACATGACGTACCGAGTTCAACGCGATGATGATATTAAGTACTATCTTTGTCATTTTCTGCAGTCTCGTTCAACATTTTTAATTTCCAACTTTCATAATCGGCAACCTCTTGTTGTTTTCGTTCGTCTTCAGAAATTCGAGTTCTCTTGGTTCCTGGTCCTATTGGATCAACAAAAATATCGTTATAAAAAATGTAAACACATAACAAAAATTTATATATATTGGCGTATTAGCTATACTAACCATCGCCTGACGATTTTTTAACACTTTCTTCAAGCCAACCGTAAGGCCTTTTAGAATCTTTTACTTTCGAGTTTTCTAAAAAAAAATTTTACGAATATTTATATAGCCCTGTCGAAAAAATAGCCGGACTAAAACGTAAAATGGACAAGAGTAAACAAACAAGAGTTTTTATTTCATAAAATTTCAGCACTTATGCAGTCGCCGTTTAAACACGAAAAAGAGTTACTGCGGCATAGAGAGCCGAAAGGTTTACATAACTCAGGTAATATTACTGAAGAGCCAGTCTGCTCATACCACATCTGCATTCTTTAGCTACTGTATGCATACTGCAATTTCTAAGGAACTTGCATGTCCCTAACGAAGTTACCTGTCACATTGTCCAAAAAGGGTTGAATTTGTTTGCAAACATTGTCAAATATAGATCTTTTAACATTGATCTGAGTAATCAACTTGCTCTTGTCTAAACGCACTTTTTTACTCCTAGAAGGAAAAAAAAATAATCGCTTGATAGTCTAATATAGTGCGACAGACAACGTGTGATAATGTGACGTTAAAACTGGACATTAGGAATATTCATGTTAAATACCATCAATGTATTATTATTTTACATAATAAATTTAATATAATTTTATAATTCAATTTAATATAAATGTTTTTGACATATTATATTTATTATAATACAAAACTACATGGAAAAAACCAAAGGAAAGATGGATGAAATTTCTTGACCTACCTGCAAACAACATACAAAGTCGCGGCAGCAAAAACTGGCTGGTCCAAATCTACAGCTCCATTTTGAGTTGATTTGTAACTACAAATTCATATATGATATACCCCATTATGTTGGTCAATTCATTAAGGGACACCAAAACCATGCACTGAGCTGAACGTGTTAAACTATTTGGTGGGCAGAAACACGTTAGGATAATATAACGAGAGGAGATAGCCGTGTAACAACGGGTCTTTCCATAACTACGTTGCAAGTTCACTATTTTCAACATAGCACGAAAACGAAACCTTCTAAACTGATCAGTAAAAACCAAAACCATATAAATGCGTTTTATTGAGTGGCGGGTCTTGGGGGTGTGCAGAATAAATTACACAACTTAATTTTAAATTCAAAGCCCTTAATAACAACCCTATTGGTTATAGATTTGAAAAGAATATTTTTACATTAAAATCTGCCAATGCGATTCCGATAAGCTGTAGTAATTTATTCTTCACACCCCTAGATCCGCCACTATTTGCGTACTTGCTCGCGCAACGTACTGTACCATAGTTTAAATATGAAATGACGACTGACCTCCCAAGCACTTCCTCGGCAAATGGAACTGAACTGACGCAACCAAACATGACAGCAAAATCTCGTAGAGTAACCATTTTTTGTTTTCCAAGAATACATTCGATTGCCTTGTATGCATTAATATACAACTTCTTTGTCAACCCAGAAAGTTGAATAGCTGTTGTCTAAAAACAAAATTACTATTTCGTCTCTTTCTAGTTAAAATTTTAACTCCTAGAGTATATTTCCGGATGAAAACAGAACAAAACTCCTTAATGTCTTTATCCTATATGCTTTGTTGGTTAAATTTGATCTACACTCTACAGAGTACTACATATCCATTTGTTTATGACATGCCCATTCAGTCAATGCTAAATATTATACTCTATTTTGAGGCCAGTAAACCTAAAATTTGAACAGGCCTAAGATTACAAGACTGCCTGATTAAAAGACATGAAGATGTTTGAATCTTAAAATAACCCTTTTGCCATTTGAAAGTTCATAAAAATGAAAATTAACTCCCCCCTTGAATAACAGGAATATGTACAGTAGCCCATTGTCCTTTATATTAACTTTGGCCCCTTGCCAGCTCTTATCTTATCTGGACAGCCTAACAGCCATATGCAGTCAGACCAGCAAAATCTTGACAATATGAAAACACAAATTAGAAAGCAACTTTATTTATTTACAAAATTAACAAGAATTCCTAAGCAAGATTAAAAGAACATATGTAACTTTAACAGTCTTATGGTACACAATGTCTTTACTCCACCATGTCTATAATCATGTCTATAATTTATATGCATATGATTTTTCATAGGCATGATTAACTTGGTTTATTTAATCTGGGAACTCTATATGTAGCAACTGACCAAGGATCACCTGAATTTTGCATCTTGTGTGTTTTAATAGCTCTCATCCTGAGTGTGCAAGATGATGTTGGTCTGTCAGAATTTGTTTTGTTCTATATTTATATTATATTTATTTATTTCGCCCCAGAAAAAAGAGAATAACACTTTATTACATTCTAAAAAAATAAATATTCACAAGAAATGGGCTAGGAGCCTACTAGAAACCACATGGCTTTTTTAAGGCCCCTAGGTTAATTATTTCAGCTATATAAAAACATGTGACAGTTTGAGTGTTTACAAATTACAAGATAGCAAAAGTATTACTATTAGGTATAAATATTTACTTAAAACATATATATGCAATTATATTTACAATAATAAGTTACATTGTTATATCTAGTTGTATGAAATATTTTTTAATTATTGATTTAAAGGAACGTAAGTTCTTTACATTTTGTTGGAAGCTTATTCCACACATCTATGCCTTTATTGGCAAGAGTATGTTTTGTATAACTTGTTCTGGTACATTTTTTATGTATCAATGAAGAATTTCTTGTATTGTGGTAATAAATTTGCTTATTTGTCGAAAAGTAGTTTATGAATAATTCTGGTAGATTTTGTAGACGAAAATACCGGAACATGAACAAACTCGTTAAATAGCTAGTCATGTAGTTTATATAAATTTTTAAGTATTTTTAAGTAATTAAAAATTTGTTCTGAATGATCGAGATATGATATGAAAGTCATTAGTCTTACAGCCTTTTTTTGAATAGTAAATAATTTTTGTAAATGTGATTTGTACGTGTTTTCCCAGATTAGATTACAATAAGTTAGATATGGATAGATCAAAACGTAATATATTAGCTTTAAGGAATTTTGTGAAATGCTAAATTCTGGAAATAATTGCTGTAAATACACACAACCCAAACTTAGATTGATATGTAAAGACAGTGAACAGATTATTCTTAGTGTAATCTAGAATCTTTGATTATTTACAAATTTTTTTGCTTGGAGCAAGCTTTGTTGGATAAAAAAGCTCTTCATTTCAAGATAATACTCTTTCCTTCTGATGTGAAATGACCCGGAATATTGTCTCTCAGGCAGAGGGAAAGAAGGGTGTTGAGGATTTAGGGGGCCCCATATATGATTGCTCTAGAGGACCTTGGGAGAAGGCAATTTTAGAGCACAGGTACATGTTTTACTACAACATATATACAATTTCAGATTCTCAATTACAATTTAAGATACTCAAATACCATATTACTCCTTCCCCCCTAAATATCTCATTGGGGCACAGTCCCCCTGATCACCACTACATCAATTTATTTTTCCAACTAAAGTGTTCAAAACCCATTGCATAGTGCTAAGTCCATTTACCTAATCAACCACCCTACCCATGTTGAGTGGGGAAAGTTGAATTAAAGTATGGCAATTTTATTGTTAGAAAGACGAGGATAATGTATCAATTAACAACAACAACAACAACAACAACAACAAACCATTTGTGTCACAAAAAATACACAATTTAAAATAATATTTAAACAGTAAGAAATCCTGAGAAAAACCAAATACCTTTGTGAAAGACAACCCTGAAGCATTTGCAGCGAATTCTAAACAGATGACAGCTGTGGCCGTATTACTCAGGTTGAGCGAGGCAAGGCTAGATCCGCATCGCACTTCGACTATCCTTTGAAATTCGGCTGCTTTACGAATTACATCATTCGAAGCGATCCCCAGCTTTCTAGAAAGAGCTGCGAGCACGCTATCACCCATATTTTTAAAGAAAGAATGTGTTTATCGAATATTTCTTAATGAATATAAACGTGTGATACTGATCATAGTGTAGACCTTTAATTTTCCAACAAGTTCAAGTCCAAAGCAGTGAAGCGAATATTTCCCGCCAAATTCTAATCTCTGCTTCCACTTTGAAAGATCAAAATTCTTTTCCTTACAAATTTTTGACTCAGCCAATCAGTAAATTGCTGATTAACGGTTCCACTCATTTAATCACGCATGCGCATAACTAACCAAACTATCCAACGTCCAATCGTCCATGACATAGAATTTGGACAACTTAAGTTTGGATTTCGCAATATTCTGTCCCTACAAACACTCCTTTGCGCTTCGCGATTAGACCCGGTAGCTTTATACTGAAGACTGGCACGTGCAAAGCATTCCGGAGCCAGAACAGGCGTCTTGCTTTAATTATAATTGTATACACAAATAAGATAGGATCGTCGGAAGCCAGCTAGAAAGTTGGTAGCCGGTTTACAGCGATACAAACAAGTAAAATTAACTCGAATACCGTTATACTCTATCGAGGAATTAAGAATAGTACAGGAAGAGACAGTTCAGTTACTCAGCTATAACTTGCAGACATGCATTTAGATATAATTTACCAATAAAAGTATTACACGTCATTTTTTACAGGGCAGGCCCAGCGACTAACAAGTGCAAAAGCACTTACTGAAGTCTCGCGCATGCGCATTCAAACAGGGGGACAAGAAATCGCAGGAGTGAACGGTCTGTATGATCTTTTTGATATTGATAAGGTTGGCAAATTTATCTCCAAACCAACACGTTCCTGGGGAGAAATAGTAAAAAAAACTTTGGAACTACGCAGCAAAGAACACAAAAAACTACATATAGAGGTAAATTAAGATACCTTTATTAAACTACTAGTCATTTTTTTTATCGTAAACGACACAGGAAGTTTCGAAAAATCGGCATTTTTTTAGAAAATTTGCTGCATTTTTCGCTGTGAACGGCGGGATGCAAGTTGCCTGATAGCGGTTTTTGGTTTGAATCACGAATGCATTATTTCATCATTGCCTTTTACATTTAACGAACTTCTAAAAAGCTCTCCGCGCGCGTAAACAATGTAGTAGATGTAGTCGAAGAGTGAGTCGGGGACAGATTTCCCCAAATAACCCACAGTTTATAACTTTAATAAACTATGCTAATGGCGCAACAATTCCCGGACCAACTGAAGCACACAGTTCATTACCCTTACTTTCGTGCACGATAATTCAAAAAGTAATAAAGTTAACTTGATAAATTTTCATGGTTGACCTTAAATGCATTACGCAAATGCATTTTGACTTATAATTATACTACAAAAGAAACAGAAAACATTTTTTCTGTGTTTCTATATAGTTATAGAACCACTTGTGCGAGTTTAGGAGAACTCGAAAAACTGATGATTTCTTGTTCTCCCAAACTCGCAAAATGTTTTCTATTTCTTAAATGGTAACTGCACACTCATACAACTCTTTTTTTACATAGAGTAAATTGCTTAGTAATATAGGAATGATGAAAGTTTAATGTGATCCTAAGTTAAAGAAAAACATTTTAGACTAGCTGTCAGACCCGCTAAACGGTTCCACAATAACGAAGACTACAAACACCTGTAGGTACCAGTTTGTAGATATAAAATAACCCACAGTTTATAACTTGAATATATTTGCTAAAGGCGCAACAATTCCAGGACCAACTAAAGCACACAGTGCGCGTGACTTCTCCTTGACCGACAGAAGGATGCGTTCCATTCAACCACGAAACAGCGTGAGTGGAACATTTCAGAATGCTTGTATCACCATTTCTCGGGATACATGACGCCGAAATTTGTGTTCCCGCATTACCAACAAATCTGTACCATCCGGTTGATATACCATCATCACACATCGTTGAACTGCCAACATAATTTACGTTTCGATCGTTGTTACTAAGCGATGTATAACTCCTGCATTCCTCTCGGTTTGTGACTAGAAAAAAGATTACTGAAATAAATATGCAGATGCGCGCAAGCCAATGTAACGAACTGAATTTAATCGCCTGAAGGTCGAGGCAATCGCGAAACTGTGAGTAGCGATAAAAAATAAATTCATTTAATTTAAAGACTTAATTTCATCGACTTAAATCGCTCTACTAACATCTTATTTAGTATTGAGCACTCTTTTGCTTTTCGAGAACAACAAGATTACTTAAAAATTCCTTCCAACAATATAATAATGCATATATGGATCTTGGTGGTCTTGGAGAAGGTGTATTGGGATTTTGTCATTATTTCTTACCGGAACATATATTTATATATAATATATGCTAATAACACTAGCTCTCGCCAGTCAGCTTACCTGTTTTTTGTGTTGTGGGAGTCTCTGGACTTTGTTGGACGCGATCTCTTGCTCTCTTTGAATAAACAAATTGATAATAAATGTCACACAAACTGAAATCTACATTTTATCGAGAAATTTACTAGATATAATAAATTGCAGTTTCATTTTTAGAAAACTTGTGACAAAGAAAGCGGAAGATCTGCATGCATGCGACCAAATCTTTCTTTAGTTAATAAGATAGGCTAGTTGTCATTCTTAGAGAAAAATTTCCATATACTATGAGTAGCATAATTTAATAGGCAAATATTAGTAAATACATGCAGTTGCCCTCGACTAAATTTGAGCTTAAAACGTTCCTTTAAATAGAAATTTGCGAAATTTTCACCTTCCCGTTTATATCTGTATGTCTATACGCGTATATATTTTCCGTGTGTTACATGCACTCAACTTTCTCAAACAATACTAACCTTTAAATTCAGGGCGGTAGCTAGACTGCTTAATAGGGAGGGAGTATATATATTCATATATTCATGTTTATAGCTACCGCAGGAACAATAGCTTACAAAAGAAATCAGTCGGGCATGAGCGATGAGTTTATGAATATATACACCCAACCCCAATTAAATTGTTGCGTAGCGACAACAAAATACAGAAACATCTGCATTTTACACGATTACCCAATGCAAGCTATATATATATGGAAAACTGAAACACTCATATTTTTCATGAAAAAAATTAATGCAATCACACCTTTTTTCGCTTTGTTCTAGATCTGTTTCATTATTGAGTTTTTTTCATTAGTGTCCATATAATAAACATGCAGAACATTACACGGTTCACGAATACATGAACTTTATGTAATTTAGTTGTTTTGCAAGGACTGAACATGACAACAAATATAGTTGTTTAATACAGTATATAAATTAATATGCTATAATTTTTGCTATATTATATTTACATATATACAAAGGTATACGTACAGTTTGAGCTATTTTTGCTCCCTTTTTCCGTACGTTTTCGACGATGTAAATGTGATCAAACTCTGGTTCATACGGACTTTCACCAACGTCAGATATCTCTGAAAGTGTCGAATTGTTGAGTTCACACAGACCTTTGCCAATTCCTGATGTTTTAAAATTAACGGACTTGCACGAACCATCTGCAAGGCAATACATGACACATTCCGACTCGCTGCCTGTCTGCTTTTTGTCGATGACATGATTCCCCAAGTACTTTGCTTTAATTTTTCGAAAAGATCCTTGCCTAAAAGTTTCACATTCACCCGGCCAGGGTAGTGTTAAAATTAAAAGTAGCGCACAAGAGAACAGTGAGAAAGCCATTGCATGCATGTAATAAAGAAATAACTAAAGGCAGACAAATGAGACAGTTCAAGTGGTCTTGTGTAAACAGTGCCAAGACAATTTGCATCACTGAGAGAGCTAGGCAGCTGACAGCACCTCTGACAGCAATGGCAATTTTGAGGCAAAGTATATACAAGGTCAATTTTTGCCGCGTGCAAGCTTCAAATCTTTCGTTCAAGACATATTTCGTTGAGTATCTATGGGTTTTTTTTCACCAAGTGCAAAACGTAACTATTGAGAATTGCGGTCTGAACAAAAGTTTTAACAATTTCCGTGGTGTCAATAATTACTGTTATAACCTACTAACATTACAGTTATTGTAATTGACATCTTCGACCGCAAATCGTTTTCAAAATGTAATTTTTTGTTTTTATCAAACGCCGAACACGCTACGAATACGAATTCATGTATTCCTGCTTGTTTTAAGTGCAAACGCATCTTTTTTTTGCCGTATAATGAAAAGAAAAGACCATGCAGCGAATTCAAATTTAAAGACCTCGCGCTCAATTAAAGAAAGAAATTATTAATTTGCATAGTTATATCGTGTTCATTTACACGACAGCCAAGGGCCCTTATACTATGCCGACAAAATGATTGCTAAATGATACTATGCCGCGGTGATTACGTCAGAACTTGACCTATCAATTCCTGCATGTACAGAACCTCCTAAAATTAAACGTATTTCAAGTTTTACCTTCACCAGCTAAAGCCAGCTATGTGCAAAGATGTAAACATCTTTCTTCAACACATGCATCATAAATAATTTTTCTGACCAATTTAGAAATTCGCCATAACACGAAAACGAGGCTCAGGTTTTTTGCCCCTGAACCTCATTAACTCGCATTGCGCAATGCGCAAGCGAGTTCTTAAAATGGGAAGCGTTCTTATTAATATTTTTACAGTCGAGAATTTCGCGACCCGCAAGATGCGATAAGGTGCGCTGACCTGCAAGCCACGAGCTACGCAGGCGTGGTTGCTAAGCTAACGTGCCCACTGCACGGCTTAGTGCATTCGTTCATGACGTTCATCGTTTTCTTGTAGACTAAAGACGATAAAAATTCAAGATATTTCGAAATGTGGCTTCCAAGTGCCATATTTATCTTAACGCTCACCTTACATACAACTGCACACGCCGAGCACAGTAGCCCTACACTAAAAGATGCCGAGCGTTTTCGAAACGGGGTGTTCTGTTGCTCTCATGCTTTTCAACTTCATGTTGAACCAAAGTTGCTTAGTATCGCTATGAATTCTCTGATCAAACTGAATACAATCTCAAATCAATCTCACGAATTCTCACTAGTACTATCAATTGAAAACAATACAACGATGTTGTCAATGAACTGTGCCATGACGTGCTACGAATATCTGAACAAGACTAACTCCACTGTGCACCAAGACTAACTTCACAGCGCAATTAAATTTATCCAATGCTCTCCCCAATTTAATGCCCGTTACGTTCCGTTGCATAGCTGAACTACTATGGCAAGCCCAAACACACGCCTGAGTAAGCGTCTTTTTTGTCATAGCCCTAGCTCGACTCAAGCAATGCGAGTTTAGTGCCTAGCGGGCATCTTGTTCTACATAAATAAAGTGTCCTATTTCACAGCGCTCTACTCTCTGCTCAGCTACAATAAAAAATGGGGCAAAATATTGGTCAACCCACTTACTCATTGTCTGTTATTATGACTCCCCCACCTTGTATCAGCCCCATACCTATTAACTTATCTCTCCTAGTATCCCTAATCCTCCAGATCTCACTAACATTAATCCCAAACCCCATTTCGGCATCTCCCAAACCTTGACACTCTCCAAGCCCTAAATCTCATTTCTTGGTCCATCATCGGTCTATGAGATTTAAAATCATCTAGGGGTTGCAGTTAGTGTACGGTGGGCCCTTGACCACACCTTCAGGATGAAAGGCGCGTACAAACTGTTTTAGCTGATTCATGTCCTGCCACACACAATCTGTTGCCTGATCAGCCGCCAACTTTACCGATGCCCCGGATGGATTCAGCACCTTGGCGAGTAGCGTATAGTACGGTGCAGTGTGGCGTCGTGACCAACCCACATGATTCATGATTTCAGACAACTCTGCACCGGGCAAAGCTAAAGTAATGGTACATCCGGAGCGAAACCCATATAATGTTTCACCGTCATCCGCGTTCATCTCTCAAATATATACTGATACGCGGTCTTGAATCTATCGTAAAACCTGCGTCTGCTCTGATTGAAGGTGCTGGCTATAGACCAACCCTTCCCATACAGTGAAGCAAAATGTTCTGGGTCGCAAAAAAGCCAACTGTGTGATGTCACCCACGAGCTCACCCTATCGAACAAGTTACACAGTCCCCGTAGGTGTTCATTTGCTGCCATCCTTCCGCCAACGTGGAGGGGCTCGCCGCAAAAGTTAACCCACTTAACCTCAGCAGGAGTGACGATATTCCGAACGGCAGCATCGAAAGAGTTACATTTTTCCCATGAACAAAAAACATCAGACTGAAATACTGAAAGGAAAGATGCATGAAAACAGACACGGCGAGTCCCACAATCAGCGGAGGGAGGACAACTTCGACCCAATAAACTGGGAGGATTGATTAAATACCCTTTTTTTCCAAACTCTCCAACCTCCAAAGACCGGGCCAAGGCGACATCTTTCTAGTGATCCTTATCACCCAACAATCGTAATACCAACGAACGAAAATGTTCAAAAGGGAGGTGAACCTTGCTGCGGATCGTCTGGTAGGTCAATCACTGAATAGTACTCATGCCTCTAATCTTGAGTGTCGCGTGCGGTATTTAGACTCTCCGACATAGCAAGCGTGTCATATTTATTGAATTCGATATTCGGTCGCATGGCGTAATGCAAGACCCGCTTTAAGGCGGATTTCCATTCAGTGCAAAATGTAGCGTGATCGATTTTTTGCGATCGCTTTCGATTGCGTTCGGTCATTGCGAACAAAACGATCCCTTTCCCTGTTTATAACAATGAAGGAGGATAATCCTCTGCCGAGGACTCAAATGACGAGGACAAAGAAGACCACTTGGTCAGACGTCGTGGGAACCAAGAAAAATGCTTCCCTTGGGAAGATACGCAAAAAAAACAAACAAAAGGCAGCAGACGATATCCAACGTTTGTTGACAACAAAAAAGCAGGAGCTCGTAAGTTGTGAGAGAAATATCCAATTAGCTTTTCAGCAAAACACGAAAAATAAAAATGGTGGGAACGTGTAAGGGAGGAAATCTGTCGAGACATTCCAGTGACAAAATCAAAATTTCCACGTTGCAAAGAGAAATAGCTAAACTGGAAGGAAATCTTACAGCTGCCCAAAATGAAATTCAAAACGCCCAGAGTGTAGTAAATAAATTGAATACATCCATCCCAAAGCATTATTGCAACTGCAGCGAAAACGCTATAGCGTTTTTACACGTTGCTGCAGTGACTTGTTTACAACATAATTTTCATTTTAATGAACTGCTGTGTTTTTAAATTTAAGATTTAAGATTTACCAAATCTATATACGACGCGGACGTGAAATAAAACTGCTCTCCACAGTTTCCCAACCGGAATGAAATTTATAGAATCTTTTGATAAGTGAAGTCAAAGCCGTATATGTAAAACAAAATAATACTGGTTTCTTAACACTAGTTGCAGTTTTCATGTCACGTCCGCGTCGCAGATTTGGTACATCTTAAGCCTGGTATTGATTACATGTACATTTCTACCGAAGCCTTTCATCATTGACATTGTGAACTTCCGGGATGTACTATTTTCAAATTTTATGATTGGAATATAGTTATATAAACCAAAACAGAAAATACACATTGTCGCATAGCCGTAAAGCAGTTCAGCGATTTTTGCTGTGTGTATTTGAAGTCAACTTCTTTAGCTTAAAAATTCAGTTTGGTGTAAGCTGGAAGTTTTGCAATCTGAAATTCCAAATAATTACTATGCAACAGGAGCTTGCACTGTTTTTTGTTTATTTTGATATTTTGTTCTTGTTCATTATTCAAATTTCCTGAAAATTCAGTCAATGGTGGTGTATATAAATCTTTTTAAAAGATTAGTGTGGTTAGCACTAATCATAGTTAAAGTTAACGATGTTTTTATTCAACCAGCCCCTGAATACGATTTCGTCAATAATACTTCTTCTTCTGTTAGGAGAGAGGGCCTTTCCGTTTTGAAAGCAACGACCTTTTTTGTTTACTCGCCAAATTCTATATAAATTTAACTACCGTACGTCCGCCTTTAGCAACGATATCATTTGACCCTAGAGAAATTAATTTTAATTCTAATTCATTTTAATTTTAATTCCCAACGTGCTTTGCGAACGCATGTTGTTTTACGGTCCAACGGAATCGCCTGTGTTTATTCTAATTTATACTGTATAAATCTAAGCGTTCCGAAAAATATCGAGTTATTCTTTCGCTCAAATTTATCAGTTGGCTTACGGAATTCATCAAATATTTGAAAAACTCCTTGAAAAACTGCTAACTTCCGGTTTCGAGTTGACCAATCTCTAAACTTATTGGACAATAAAACAAATAGACGCAGAGTTATGATTGGTCAATTCAAAACCGGAAGTTAGGAGTTTTCAAATATTTGATAAACTCCGTAAGCCAACTGATAAATTTGAGCAAGTGAGTTGCTTGATATTCGGAACGCTTCTATTGTCGCGACTGTAAGTGCACTATCTCC